GGTTATCGTGGTTATTTGTCTGGGAGTTTTGGGAGTTTTAAAGAACTCATTTGTGTTCAGTGTGAACAATACTCGACTTATTTGTTGTAATCATGGCATAAAAACGTACTCCTATCCTGGAGTGCAGTGCGTAGAAAGATATGTGGGGTCAAAAGTTAAAAATATGCTGATCATTGTGTTTGTGTTAATATGTTAAGGCAGATTAAGTGCTTTGTTCTTAACACAATCAGATTTTCTCAATCTGACTGTGTGGCAGATTTTGTGGTTGGAAATATTGACATGGTCACCATGGAAAAGAAAAGCACATTTCCAACTCACCAGGTGAAAACATACGCTTGTGTTAAGTTTATAAGGTTACATTTTAGAGTACTTAGTTTGGGCAAACACTCTGTTATTCATTAGTTATTTTGTTATTACTTGACATGTTTTGGTAGCACATGCACTTCTTGTTAAAGCTTGCATATGAAATGCATAATTATCAAGGTGTTTCTACATAATGAATTTATGTTTCCCTTTCGTATGTGTTGCAGGTCGCTTAAACTTCAACAGACCCACCATCTGGTGTTTCAGGAAGTGAACATGAACCACAACTGGATTCTGAGGTAAGGTCGTGTTTTTTTTTTTTATTTCATGTACCTTTTGTCGATGAAATTAGCATTTAAGATTTCTCCAGTTGTCTTGTTTGGGTTGACTTATGTCTATAAGGGATGCCTTGGTTATCTTTCCATTGCTGGTTTGCATTTCCTCGTACAGGTAAATTCATAGCAGAGCTCTCGCGCGCGCAAAGCGCGCGCGCAGCGGAGCACCATGGGTAAGAAAATTTGGTAAACTATCCAACCGAGAAAATTTGGTTATGACGTAGCGTACGCCCGCCCGTCCATACACACACTCTATGTAAGCCGATGTCAAATGTCACAATAGATCTTGCACAACTTGACTAGCCTCTTAGTTATGTAAGCCAACCGTATCAGTACGTTTAGATTGACAGCTGTCAAAATCAGACATCCGCTGACAATTATCACATGACGATCTCGCGGGCTCAGATGAAAGACCAGTCGTTTTGCCCCTACATATAAGCTGATATAATATGTCACACTTACCAATTCAACATAAAAACGAAACTACGCCGGGCATGGCTGTCAGTCGTTTAAAGTTATATTGGCAAGCCAAATTAAGGTCAATTGACAGCTATCAAAATTGGACATGTACAGACCACTATCAGAAAACTAATAATTAACGTGGGCTCAGGTTCGCTCAGGTACACGATCTGGCATTTTCCACTACATGCCGGACGGATATGTCTTACTCACACCAGCAGCCGATTACTAAGTGATCGGCTCCTGCTCACACTCGTAGTCTGTTAATTCGAATATTCGCCATTCTAATGAACGTTAATTGACAGCTGTCAAACTAGAGTATACGCTGACCATCATCACCTGAGTGTATCGCGGGCTCATTTTTCTATCCATTGAGGTCACGTAGTGTTTAAAGTTTGGCGCTGATATTTTATTTGATCACGGGCTCAATTCGAAGCCCCATAGCTTAGAAAATCTATCCATCCTAGAAAATTCGGCAATCACGTGAACGTACACCGACTACCCGACCTTCCGTCCGTCCTCACCACAGGCATACCAATGTTTAATCTCACACTTTCTAGCTAGTTTAGGAGCCTGCAACTTGATATTGTACATCCATGTTTAGATTCATTGACAGCTGTCAAAATAGTGTTTCTGCTAACCAGTATCGCCTGAACGTATCGCAGGCTCAGGTATCGACCCACCGAGTTCGAGTGTTTTTTTAAGGCATCCGCTGACAAGTTGACACTTTTCAAATGATCGCAGGCTCAAGTTCAATTTTTTTAAAATGCATATGAATTAAGTCGTGTTCATGAGCAGCACTTTTAAAATGTTGATTTCGAACTGACCACGGATGCGAAAATTCAACCGGCTATTACATTTACATGCAGGGAAGGCAATCGCTTTTGACTTTTCTCACTGTCACGCATTGATCACGCTCTACGTCCAATTCTTATGTTCTGATTGGTCAAAATTTGACAGGTGAGTTCATGCGGAAAATTTATGCAGCATCTGGAAACTTGCTTACTGATAGCTGGAGCTGACAGAGTTTTGTGTCATCTTGTGATGTTTTAAACTGTCTTTTTCTACTTGGTGTACAAAATGAAATACAGCTGCTATCAAGATTGTTCTGTAATTCATGGCTGGTTTGTTAATTGCACTTTCTGTTGACAAATGCACCGCTTGTCAAAGTCATTGGAAATCCGATTTCGGATGGCATCGTTTTGCAAAAAAGAGCTTACTCACTTGCCCTTGCTTGAGGCGTAACAGGGTTGAAAAGTCTCAAGTGATTCTGGAACACTGGATGACCTTCAGAAGCAGCATCTCGACTGGTAAGCCCGAGCAATTATTGTCTTTGATGTGTTTTTTTTTCGGTTTCCTGAAGTCGAGCGTATGGCTTTAAGTTCATACACGAGCAATGTTCTAGGTAAATAAGTAAGTAATAACTTTATTTAACCACGGAATCCTTATCACTAAAAAGTGGTCTTCTAAAGACCCGCAAATTCAAAGAAAAGGTTCGGAAGATTATTTAGTTATGATTTTGGCTGTAAACAGAAAGCTCTGAGCGATTTTCTTGCCTCAAGTTCATCTTGAAAAAGAGCAAACACCAGGAGCCGGCTTAAAACATAAATAAGCTTATGCTTACCTGACTCATGATTTTCAGAGACACTTTACTCTCAATACTTCTCTTCGTGAATGAAAATTATTTTCTCTGTACATGTTACACCGAATTATATTTATTTTATTGATTGTTAGTAGTCCCTCTCGCAATTTTTATCCCTGCACCGGCTGTTTCCAGTCGAACATAAACATCGCATGTAGGAATACTCAAAACGCCGCGCGTGAATTCTGCGCGTAAATATCACTCGCTTTTAAAGATTACACATAACAGAACCATACACAGTTTAATAAATAAAGCGCAATAAAACCTAAACATAACAATTTCTCTATCATGTTGAAGCGTAAATGGTAACTCTATTAACCGCACTGCAAATTTGGTGGCTGTCAAAAGTGAGAACCCGTCCGGCTGGCCGAAAAGTGATTTTGGGAATGTTTTTGATCGTTTTCATTAAAAGCCCGTAATTATTACCCTCCATATCACATAGGACCAGATTATTTTTCTCTAAAATCACTTAGCCTTTGCCTCAAAAGTCAAATGAATGTGCCCTGATCTGTGGATTACAAGTTTATTGTTTGATTTAAATTATGAATTTATTAACGGGAGCTTCGCTTTTAGCCCTGGCGAAATCTATATATTAAGATATTGCACCCAAACCAGAAACTCATAAGGGGTTGAAACGTGTAACTCTCATATGTTTGCTTTGTCCGATGCTCGTGATTATTCATTTTCAAAAGTACCATATTTGGAGCGAGAAGAAGAGATGACTGACCAATCAAACTTCGTAAACAAGGTGATGTAATTTTACTTCAGGTTCACGCGCTCGCTTAAAAAATGGCCGACAAACGGGGCAAAAACTCCCCAAAGCCGAAAAAGCTTTTAAAGGTTGAAACCAGGAATCTTACTAAAACACTGAGCAGGATACTATTGCCTCACCACCCGGGCCAAACATAACATTATGAAACCCATTGACATCCTCGCAACTTCTTGAAGTTGTCACTTCAAACAACGATGCCTTGTTGACCCTCTGCACAGTAAACATATACTGCAAATAGGCTTTTAACTTGTATTAAAAGTCTAGAATAAATAGTAAAAAATATTTTCGAAATAAAATTCATTAGCTGCGTATCGAAAAGTGTCCAAAACCTGAACCTGACATCTTGGTAAAAAGTGATGCGTGTAATGAATGTGAGAAGCATTTAAGCTTAAATTCAGCTTGGATGTTGTAGACAAGATCGTATTATGAGCTAATTTTATGAATGAACAAACTCAAAACAATAGACAGAGAAGCCGTTTCTTGAACATTTTTATTCAAAATCCAAAAAGTTAATCTTTTAAAGCAGTTCAGAAAACACTATCTGGATCGGGGATCCGTTCACGCAAGTGAAATCGGCTGAGCACATGGCAAAATTCAACACAAAATCCATCTCAAATCGGGGCACATTCTGTAATTTTTCGTTAGCGCTGAAGAGAAAAATTTATAAAACGTCTATGAAACATTTAAAAATAAATAAATTCCTTTTCAAAAACGCAATTGTCTTGGCCATAGAGTGCAAAATGTACCTTAAAATTCAGCAAAAACTTCACTGCCTTGGTTGCATTTCAAAACAGACCATGCGCACCTCGTAAAGAAAACAAGGTTGAATTTCCTCAAAGGACAATTTCTTGATGAAAAGCTTCCCTTCCTCCACAAAAAGAAAGCTGAGCATTCTTTTGAACTTTCTCTTTCCATTTTTTGTCTTTTAACGGTGTATTTTTAACCTTGAAATGCAGAACTCTTGTCTGAATACATCTGCATGGTGATCGAGTGGCAGCCATTTGTTTAAAATGGTAATATGGTAAAAGTGAATATTCACGAGAATTGAACGCGAGTTACACGTTTCAACTCCTTATTAGTTTCTGCCCAAACTCAATACATATTTATTCATCGAGCACTCCTAGGATAAGTGAACTAATGTATTGTTGGTCATTTATTTCATTTCATATAATGTTTCGTGACATTTTCAGGAGAAGGGGACATTCCTGATCCTATGGATGTGTATGAATAGATAGATAGATAGATAGATAGTTTATTAATAACCGATTTGCAACTAAAAGTTGAATTACACGACTATTTAGAAAAAAATGAAAATATGTAATTACATTAAAAAGACTACAAGTGATTTAAAACAGCAAAGAAAGACACTATGTATATGTTCTAAAAAAAATATATTTGAGAATGGGTTATTGAAGTGGAAGATCCCTTGTTTTCGAGTGATGGAAGTTGAATTCAAATGTGCTTGGGTCATCATTAATGGACCAGGAAAGAAGATACTTTTGTCAAAGGGCAGGTCAAGGTTAAAGTGCCCAGTCAAGTGTGCTGTACTTCACACTGCATTACACAATGGCGTCAAAACGTGTGGAAACAGGCCTTTTCTCCGAAACCTGCCCCATTCCCCATCGGCTATTATTTATTTCTGTCTAACTCCCCTTCCTGACCTGTTTCCTTGATTGTCTTCTGAGCTCCTGATGAGACGAGGCTTGCAACCTTTTGTTGAGATTGGATGTTTTTCGTTTTTAAGGATGAGCTCATCATATCTTATTTATCGTGTAGACCAGGGTAACATAAGCTTACAAAAATAGACGGATTATCATAGGTAAGTCACTCATTTTTACAGCTATCCCAAGAGGAAGAGTTGGAAATAAGAACCTGTCTTGCGGCAATCGAAATGGAGGAAAAGAAAAACGAAATTAAGGAAAAAGAAAATGAATTGAGGGTAAAAGAAGAGTTAAAGCAAATAGAAAGGAAAAAAGAAATTGAGGAAAAAGAAAAAGAGTTAAAAGAAAAAGAAGAAAAATAAAACACAAGGCAAAAGAAATCAAAAACACCACAATGGAGGCCAAACGGAAGGCTGCCCAGCTCCAACTTATGGCCGGGCAGCTGGACCATTTGGCCAACTGCATTCTTTTAGAAATGCAAAATGAATAATTTATGACATCCAAGGATAAGTTATTTTATTACAAAATTATTTGTCTTAACTTCACTACTGCAATGAAAAATTATTTTCAATGCAAAGATCCATATGTTTTGTCTGTAAGATATATTTTGCACATCTTATAAGACCAACATGTGCTATTGCCAAGTGATGTATATTTCGCACTGAAATAAAGGAACAATTCATGTAATCTCTCGTGAAGAATAAGTTCTCTTCATATTACAAGGTATGTTCTCCATCGCTGTCGTCCTCCACTTCCTGTGCTGCTCCTGTCTTTAATATATCACTCCTTTCTCTATCCATCACTCGAAAGTCCCCTTTCCTAAAACAGCAATCCTACATCTTGTACTGTTGGTTTCCCTCAACATCCCTCTCGTTCCCCCTTTTTTGGGGGAGGCAGCTGAATTGAAATCAATGAATAATGTTATTAAAGGTTCTTAAAACCCATTTCCCTTAAATCTCCTATAAAAGTTAACAAATATTGCCACCCTGTCCCCTATCCCTAAAACAGGATTGTAACATCCCCAAGATTAGAAAATATAATAAACTCCATACAACCGAGCAAACAATCTAAAATATAATAAGCTCCATGCAGCTGTACAAACAATTTAAAATTGGTTTCTAATCCTGCCATAAGAATGACAAGGCCACGTACTGATTACTATAATGAACGACCGTATAGTCGTGCGGCAATGGAAGCTTTACCAAGCTTCACCTGTTGATGGTTACCACATGCCTACTGGGAAAATGCCACAAAACTACACAATCAGGATGTCGGAGCGATACAAGCAAGCCCCTCGTAAAATGATGAACTGAACTGTGCATTGGCACTTGTTGTTGTTGTTATTATTAATTATATAAGTTTATACATAAGCGCCCGAGAAGACTCACCTCCCCTGCCTTAGCGCATGATAAGATTCAAATAAAGATACATCAATGCTTGTGACATTTTCTGAACTCTTCTAGTCATTACTGTAGTATCGATGATGTAATTGTGTACGGTCGAAATGAGTTATGGGTAATTAAAAAAGCACATGGTCAAGTGTCGAGTTGAATCTGTTGTTGTGTGCATTTATTTTGGTTAAATCCGGATGTTTCACTGACCGTGAAACACTACAATTAGCGACGAGGATAACGTGATACGAAGATACGTCTGTTTGAAGGAAAGTTATGGCGACAAATGACGAACTTTGCGGAATTAAGCCATTTGATTGTCGAGGAGATAGCACGAGTGTGGGGCCTAGATGGCGGCGATGGCGAAAATCATTTCAATTTTACGTCGATGGTCGTGGAATCACAGCAGCCGCTCAAAAAAAGGCGTTGCTTTTACATTGCGCAGGGATGGAAGTCCAAGAAATCTTTGAAACCCTAACGGATCCGGGTGCACCTGCAGGGGAAGACGATGATGCGTACAAGGCTGCACTTCGAACACTTGATGCATACTTTACACCACAAGTGAATGTACCATACGAGCGACACATTTTTTGCCAAATGAAGCAAGAAGAGCATGAAACGGTCGATCAATTTGTTGTAAGGCTCAGTAATCAAGCTGCGAATTGTGAATTTGGTGCTACGAAGAATGAGCAAATACGTGATCAAATCATTGATAAGTGCAAGTCCACAGAGCTTCGGCGAAAACTTCTGGGAAAGGGACAAGAGCTAACATTGGCAGACACGCAGAAGATTGCTCGATCGTTGGAGTTATCTCAAACCCAAGCCAAACAGATCGAAGGTGATGTGGGAGCGTCTGTTAATGCCATCAAGGAAGACAACAAACCTGGAGGAAATGGGAAAAGTGATCAGAAGAGTCTGAAATGTTACCGATGTGGACAAAGTGGACATTTCGCACGTGACAAGTATTGTCCGGCAAGATCTAAAACCTGTACAAAGTGTCACATGGCAGGACATTTTGCTTCAGTCTGCAGGACAAAGAGTAAACAAGAGAAGAAGAAAAAGGACACACGGAAACAAGGTGGACGAGGAAAAGTCAACTGCGTGGAGGATGGTGAAGATGATGAATATGCTTTTACTGTGGGACTCGGTAAAACATGGGACAGGAGTGGATCAGAGATAGTCGATTTACAAGTTGGAGGTGTCATTCTTAATGGAGTTCTCATCGACTCAGGATCATCATGTAATATCATTGATCAGAAGACGTGGGAAGAATTGAAGCAAAAAGGAGTAAAGTGCAAGTCAGAAAAGACAAATCAGAAATTGTATCCTTATGGAACTTCAGAACCACTGGACACACTGGGAAAGTTCGAAGCATCAGTAAACCTAGCTGGAAAAGATGTCACAGCTGAATTTATTGTCATCTGCAATGAAGGCAGGCCAATAATGGGCAGGAAGACAGCCATGGAATTAGATGCACTAAGACTGGGACCACAAGTTAATGTTGTAAGTACACCAGACCTTGTTGATAAATACAAAGCATGTTTTGAAGGAGTGGGCAAGTTAACTGATTATCAAGTTAAGATCCATGTGAATAAAGAAGTCAATCCAGTTGTTCAGCATCCCAGGCGAGTGCCATTCAGTCTGAGAGAGAAAGTAGAGAGCAAGTTGCATGAGTTAGAGCAGCTGGACATTATTGAGAAAGTGAAAGGACCAACACCGTGGGTCAGCCCAATAGTAGTAGTTCCCAAACCTTCTGGTGAGATTCGATTGTGCGTTGATATGCGCAGAGCGAATGAAGCTATTGTGAGAGAAAGACACCCAATTCCCACTGTTGATGAGGTCCTCCAGGACATGACCCAAAGCAGTGTGTTCTCTAAGTTAGACCTTAAATGGGGCTATCATCAACTGGAACTGAGTGAAGAATCACGTGACATCACAACATTCACAACACATGCTGGACTTTATCGTTACAAGAGATTAATGTTTGGTGTAACCTCAGCTCCTGAGATCTATCAGCATGCTATCCAGCAAGCTCTGCATGGATGTGAAGGAGTGCGTAATATATCTGATGATATCATTCTTCATGGTAAAGATGACCAGCAACATGATGAGAGGCTCGAGAAGCTGCTAGAAAGATTGCAACAAAGAGGTTTGACCTTGAATAGTGCGAAGTGCAAATTCAAGATGCCCCAGTTAGAATTTATGGGATACCTATTGTCTACACGTGGTATTGGACCGACAGAATCCAAAGTTGAAGCAGTAGTCAACGCCAGAGAGCCTGAGTCTGTAGCCGAAGTGAGAAGTTTTATGGGACTTGTGAATTTCAGTGCAAAATTCATTCCAAATCTGGCCACAGTTTCAGAACCACTTCGACAGCTGACACGAAAAGGTGTAACCTTCAAATGGGATGAGAAGCAACAAGAAGCGTTCAAAGCTCTGAAGGAAACACTAGCAAGTGCAGAAACATTAGCTTACTATGACAAAGATGCCAAAACAAGAGTCATTGCTGACGCAAGTCCAGTTGGACTGGGTGCTGTTCTTGCTCAAGAACAAAATGGCAATTGGAGACCAGTCTACTACGCAAGCCGAAGTCTAACAGCAGTTGAAAGAAGATATTCTCAAACAGAAAGAGAAGCTCTGGCTCTAGTCTGGGCTTGCGAAAGGTTCCATGTTTATCTATATGGAAAACATTTCGAATTGGAAACTGATCACAAACCACTTGAAGTGATCTATTCAAGTAAATCTCAGCCCTCTGCGAGAATCCAAAGATGGGTCTTACGACTTCAGCCATATGAGTTTACAGTGATGTATCGTCCAGGCCCACAGAACATAGCTGATGCTTTATCTCGCCTAACCCAAGAAATTTCAAACGAAAGCAAAAATGTGGCGGAAGAATACATTCGGTACGTTGCAGAGAATGCAGCCCCCAGAGCCATACCTATCCAGGAAATTGAAGAAGCATCTGCTGAAGATGAAGAAATTGCAATGTTAAGGAAGTGTGTTCAGACCAATGATTGGGCTGTCGGCGAGCCAGCTTTTAAAGCTGTGAGAAACGAGTTAACTGTGCTAGGAAAGTTAGTGTTGAGAGGAACTAGATTAGTCATTCCGATGAAACTTCGCAAGCAAGTACTGGATCTGGCACACGAGGGCCATCAAGGGATCGTTAAGACCAAGCAAAGACTCCGTACCAAAGTATGGTGGCCCGGTATAGACCGTCAAGCAGAACAAAGGTGCAGAACATGTCATGGTTGCCAGCTTGTCGGGAAACCTTTGCCCCCAGAACCAATGAAGAGAACAGAGTTGCCTACACAGCCATGGCAAGACCTTGCGGTAGATCTGCTAGGACCCCTTCCGACGGGTGAATATCTACTCGTGGTTGTTGATTATTTTAGTCGATTCTTTGAAGTAGCTGTAACCAAATCAGTGACATCTGGCAAAATGATTAGCTGTCTGGAAGCAATGTTTGCTACTCATGGACTACCGCTGTCAATAAAAACAGACAATGGTCCACAGTTTGTGTCACAAGAGTTTGAAGTCTACCTCAAAGACAACAACATTGAACACAGAACGTCAACTCCAATGTGGCCACAAGCCAACGGCGAGGTTGAAAGACAAAATAGAAGTCTGCTGAAAGCGATGCGGGTTGCGCACAGCGAGGGACGTGACTGGCGAAAGGAATTGCAGAAATTCTTGCTTGGTTACAGAAGCACGCCACACACAATTACTGGAGAGAGTCCTGCTAAACTGTTATTTGGAAGAGAGATTCGTTCAAAGCTCCCAGGTGTGGAAGAGTTGCGCTCAGCTAGTAATGACAGTGAAGTCTTGGACAGAGATCGTGAAAGAAAGCAAAAAGGCAAAGACTATGCTGATAATCTGAGAGGTGCTTGTGAGTCTAACCTGAGAGAGGGAGACAAAGTTCTTCTTCAGAAACCGAAGTCAGACAAGCTGTCACCATCATTTGAAGCCACACCCTATGAAGTGGTCAACAAACATGGAGGTCATGTGGAAATTAAGTCTCCTGCTGGCATTCACTACAAAAGAAATGTTACCCATCTACAGAAGTATGTGGAGGACAAATCACAGGAAACAGAAACCAGCAATCCTAAAGGGACTTTGTCAAAAGACCCAGAAACTAATCAGGAAGAGGAACCAAGAGTTTCAACTCAGCATTATGCGTTGCGGCCTAGGCACAATCGTCAACCTGAGAGACTAAAAGATTATGAACTTGGTTAAGACTTTGTTTACACAATGGACAGTTCTTGCGAAGGACATTTCACCTTTATGAAAATGTCATTTTGTATTGATTTAAGTCTTGGACATTGGATCATTTTTCCTTGAGTTAGTAGCCATTGAGAGACTGTTATAGTTTGTATTGTTATTTTGTTTAAGAAACCGGACTGGACGATTTATTCGGAAAAAAGGAGATTGTAGTATCGATGATGTAATTGTGTACGGTCGAAATGAGTTATGGGTAATTAAAAAAGCACATGGTCAAGTGTCGAGTTGAATCTGTTGTTGTGTGCATTTATTTTGGTTAAATCCCGATGTTTCACTGACCGTGAAACACTACAATTACTGAACTAAAATGTCTTCTATGAACTTTGTCTTGGAAAAAAAAAGTTCTTTAAGTTAATTATTATTGTTATTAGTAACAAAAATTTATACATATACCCAGTGAGGTCCCCTTCCCCTGCCTTTACGCATATGGGATCCAAATAAAGATATATTTATAGTTGTGACATTTTCTGAACTCATGTAGTTGTTAATGAATTTAAGTGTCTTTTATGAACTATTGTCATTACTGAACTGTTGTCTTTACTGAACAATAAAAATAAGAAAAAGTAGTCCACCCCATAGGCATCCTCTGCATCACATAATGAGGGATAGGCTTTCTTCAGGTGTTTGGTCACTCGTGTACGGCATGAGGATCCTACACATACATGTATTAACAAAAAAAACAAACATTTTGAAACCTTGGAAACAACACTACAGACACTGCATAAATGACACCAAAATTTGGATAACAACACTTTGTACATCCTTAGTCTCGCGTAGATGAGAAAAGGGTTTTCAACGTAAATGCGGGGATGTTTCAGTTTTGATATTCAATCGTTGATACAAAAATTTGTGTAAAGTGTCTATGGGGTTGGGTGTTTGAAATCATCTGGCAGTGAAATGCAGGTACATCTTTGGGCACATTTATTTTGTTTACTATTATCTCCTTGTGCAGTAAATATCTCCCTGTGACCTTTTCCTTTTTTTTCATTTAGAGGAGTGGAGGGTGATGGTTGCTTTTGCAAGGTTCAACTGTAGGCTTCCGTCTTTCACATTCCTCCAATAAGTAATAAATTTTAAAGTAAAGGGCACATGTACACTCTCTTACCTGAACGTTTAGGCAAATTAGATGTTTCTGCAATGGCATTTGCACAGCATTCCCAAAACTGCCCATCTTTGGTATTGGGCCACCCATTTGATGCAGCACCATCCCAGTATAAACCAATGTACTGTATGAGAGCCTGTATCTCCTCAGAACACCACTCTTTTGGCTTTTCTTTTCCTTTAGTAGTCACAGTTGGGTTGCCTCTCCCAAACAGTGTTTTCCTTATGTTCTGTTTAGGCTGGTCACAAGTACCTGGACCTTGGGGTTTTTTGGGCATTTTATTTCCCGGCTTTTCAGGTGTATCACCAGGACCAGGTCCATGCTCCCTTTCGTTACTCATAACTGATTTCGAAAAAAATACAACTACATTTGTACAGACTCCATAATTTATTCCCACAGCGTAAAAGAGAATAGGCAGAGGAATATAACAAACTCTCGAAGACAATACATATACAAGCCTAGAGCTATTGAAAGTTCTATCTTAAGATATACCCATTTAATATCCGTCAAAAACGCTCAAAGTGGTCCTAGATTATATCCTAGGGTGAACTAAAAATAGTGTTTGATACAAAACGGATAATAACTGTAATTAATAGCGGTAATTTTGGATCCCACTTCACATTGGATCGAGCTGCTTCAAGTACTATCACATGGGCTGAAAAGGTGACAAGTCTTCAAAATTGGCAAATTTCAAGTTCAAAATTCAGGCAAAAAGCAAGGGGCGCCTAAGGGCGCGCTCAAAGATTTACATTCCTATACCTTTCCTTTATATTTTGTAAAATTTTTAAAATTTTTGGACTGGTGAATTAAGAGAAAGAGCTCCCTTTTGGTGAAGGGCTTGGAAAATGGAAATCGGTAGCCATATAGCAATGATTTTCTTCATCTCATTCTGTCATAACTATTGGCCGTTTGATAACAGAGTTAACAGAAACTGCGAGAAAAAGAGTTTGATTTTTAAAAAACCAAACATTTACCAGAGAAAGCTGCTCGAACAGTTAAGAAAAATTGTTTTGCTTACCTCCATAAATCGCGGCTTTTCAGGCTATTTCGTCGCCATCTTGAATACGTCACAAAATAATGCTTTGCGATCGTAGTGTCCACACCACCTGGATACTGATGACAATGGTAACCCACCAAGTGCCACAGACCAGGAGAAGGTGAGAGTCTACCACAGAGAAAGATTACCAGACAAGCTAGAAGTCAAGCTGGGAGCAAAAGTAGTTCTTAAAAACATTGATGTTAAGAGCAAATGGGTGAATGGCACCCTGACTACCATTGTAAGTGTCCTTGGCGACTGCATATTCATAAGGCATACGAGGGAGGGCACCTTTATACCGACAGATAATGCTTGAGTCTTAGTACTGTTCACTGTTAAATGGTTAGACTCAAACCACCACGAAAGAGTCTAAAGATCTTTGTTGAAGGAAAATTCTAGTATGGTGGGAGATACATCTGACAGGTAGGCAGTCGTGTCATCAGCATACAGCCGCAATGAGACATTAGGAACACAGAAATTCAAGTCATTAACGAATATGTTGAACAGCAACGGCCCTAATAGTGAACCTTGAGGAACGCCAGATTTAACTGTTTTGAAGTTAGAGCATAAGCCTTCTAATCTGACACATTGTTGACGACCTAGCAGGTAGGTGAACATCAGTTCCAAGGCATGTGGAGAAAAGCCATAGGCCTTCAACTTCGCGAGCAGAAGGCTGTGGTTTATGGTGTCAAAGGCTTTGCTCAAGTCCACAGCGACTGTCGCTACAGCTTCCTTGTTATCAATACTGTTCCTCCAATCTTCCGTTATTTTTAGCAATGCAGTGCAGCAAGAATGGGTTTTCATAAATCCAGGAAAGTTTGAGGAAGAAACATTATAAAATGCATTCCAAGTTTGGTCATAAATAACTTTCTCAAACACCCATTACAGAATGGCGCCTGTAGATCTGCGTCGCCCGCAAAATCGCAGGTCCCATGACTATTTGCGCGCTCACAAAGGAAGCCGACGCATGTCCCGTCCTTTGATTCAAGACTCAAGTGTTAGGGTATTGTTTCCACCATACAAAGGTAATTTAACTTAAGAAAATCAATAGATCGAAGCTTTCGCACTACTCTCTGTTTTATAAGGAAATGCAAACGCTCAAGTTCATAAATATTCTGACTTCATAAGATATTTTAATGATTTAGGCCAGCAGAATGTATAGAATTCTGTAAAAACAATTCAGGAAGCCGAACGGTTTTGAACTGCGCTAGATGTTGTTTTTATCAGTATGCAAATCACCTACCCAATCACTTACTTTCCATCGAACTGAAATATCCTGACTTTTTTTACCACTTTTCGATTTGCTTCATTTCATTTTATATTATTTTGTGCAAGCTTAGCTCTTTCATGCGAATTTAAGCTTTCAAAAGCAAGAAAACTTCAGGAAACTTTGTGTTTACAACCACGGCAATTTGTATATATTTCGCTTCACTTACGCCTATATGCAAATCACTGTTCATCAGCAGGATTTCGCTGGAGACAAAAATATCGATTTTGAATTCCCAAATGCTTGCCTTTTGGGGCATCGTTTTTATTTTGGCTATCATTAGGGGCACGTTAGGGGCACGTGCTGGTCAAGAACATCTTATTAGTGGTTATGCATTCTAGTTATGTGATGAAATGATTTCATGGAAAAGCAAAAAGCAATCTATTGTAGCATTGTCTTCATGTGAAGCTGAATATGTACCTTTAGCCACTGCCACACAAGAGGCTAAATTTCTTAGACAACTTTTTACTTGTATGTAGATAACCAGGGAGCAATTGCTTTAGCTAACAATCCTGTACAACACAAAAGATCAAAGCATATTTATGTGAAATATCACTATGTAAGGCGAGATTCAGAACAGAGCTGTCAGCTTAACTTATGTACTTACAGATAACAATGTTGCAGACGTGTTCACCAAACCTGTGACAAGAGTTAGACTTGATAGACTGTTAAGTTAATGTCTCAAACCCCAAGTTGTGTTTGAGTGGGGGTGTTGGATACAAACTCAACTGTAACTGGAAATTAGCTACCGGAAGTGCATGTACGAGATTGTAACACTAGGTCGAGGATGATGGCACTATATTGCATCAGCCCACATCATTGCCTTTTCAGATTACATCTGGCGTGGCCTGGACCTTGGATTGCTCATTGGGGTGGTATTTATTGACTTGCACAAGGCATTTGACTCTGTTGATCACGAAATACTTATTAGCAAACTAGAGTCATATGGACTTAAGGACATTGAGTTAGACTGGTTCCAAAACTACCTGACCGACCGAAAACAACTCGTGAGTTTTGGTAAAGAAATCTCTGATCCATGTCTTGTTACATCAGGTGTCCCTCAAGGGTCAATTCTTGGCCCTTTACTTTTTGTCCTGTTTGTCAACGATCTGCCTGTAGTTCTAGAACGATGCCAGGTTCTGATGTACGCTGATGACACAGTTATGTATTTCACTGCTAGTAATGCCCAAGAAATCAGTAGTACTCTTAACAGTGAACATGCCAAGGCTAATGACTGGCTTGTAGACAACAGTCTCTTTATTCACCAAGGCAAAACAGAATGTGTTTTCTTTGGTACTGGTTCTAGGTTAGCAACTGATAATCTCTCTGTGAATATTGATGGCAAGGAGCTAACACGGGTTGCCGAGTATAAATACCTAGGAGTAATTTTGGATTACTCGCCTTCATGGAACACGTACGTGAATTATTTATGTTGGTTTGCATGATAATCCTTGCCCCACGTCTCTGTAATTTTTCTATATTATTAGCATTCGTACGTATAATCAAAAACAGGAAGAATAAATGATCTGTAAATTATACCAGCAGTATGCATACTAATGCTCCGCCTGGTGCGGCTAAGAATTCCTATTCTCTTACTAACTTTGCTTATATGATATTCTGAGGCTTAGACGGGAGATTCACGCGTTAAACCTTGTAAAGAGCTGTCTAAATAAGCACTGCCCACAATTTTTAATGGAGCACTTTTATTTTAATAGAGATATTGTACAGAGAAAAACACGGCAAAGTAATAATCTCCGTCTTCCCTCCATCAAATTAGAATGTACGAAAAAAGCTTTTTATTATTATGGACGCGAAGTTTTTAATCGTAATTTGTAATTTTATTAACAGTGTAGTTCCAGTTTTCGGTTTTATTTTATTTTAATACTATTTTTTGTTGGTTAAAATTCGGTTTATTATTTACCCGACCAGGGGTATTTTACTTAGGCCCAGGACTGCGTGGTCGTGAACAAGTGGAAAGGTGTTCGCCATGTTTGTACTAAGTTTTAGGTTGTATTTCTTTTGCATTTAGTAATCGGTTCTTATCGTACTCGCCGGATGTCTTAACACGTGTTTGTAAGTTTTTTTTATTAGCGTTTTCTGTATTTCGTAGGTTTTAAGTGTTAGTGTAAGTTTGTCATTTTATTTCTGTAATTTTCATGCATTTTGTATTCCATCTAGAAACCATGTTTATCATGAGGTTGGCTATTGTACATGAGTTTGACACGTAACATTTCCATGTAGTTCCGAATTAAAGGTTGTGGTTTTTGGCGGCTACAAATAGTTTGTAGTAATTTTTATCCCTTTTTTACGATATTTTTTTATTAGCTTAGTTAGGACAAGTTTTAAGTATTTTTAACATATTTTTAGATATTTTTTTATCTAGGGCCTCTAAGGATATCAGTTTTTGTAACTGTAGGAGTTAGCCTAGCTAAATAAAAGTATCTTCTCCTTCATGGTGAACGTTGTGGAAGAAATCTGTCAGAGTTGAACTAAAAACTGAATTGTGTTTTACGTAAAGTTTGTGTTATCCACTAAGAACTATGGCCACACTTGCAACAATGATGACTATGAGACAACAAAAAAAATGTTGTCATGCTGTTTACAAACAACTTAAGGAGCTAAAAACAATTAATCACCCATTGACTGGGCAAGAAATAAAAATTATTAGACCCACGTCTGGGGATGGAAAGGAGAGAAGATTATCTACTGGCAGTTCATCTGTCAAATCCACTTATCCAATCCTACAAGCCTCAGAGCACCAGAGCCAAATGGACGACATGAAGATAATCTGTCCAGAACCAGTGTGGACAGGTTTAGATGTAGAGAGTTGAAAGAAAAAAAATTAGACTAAACTGTGTGGAAAGGCCCCCACCAAAGAAAAGCACGGAGAGTTTGCCAAACAAAATCTTAGGAACACTGGGCGTAAATATTTGAATGGTACACCCCTTTCTGAGTACTACCCTGGTACTGCTCACCTTGGCTTTCAGTCAGCTGAAACGCTATGTTTGCAAATTACAAAGATTGCAATAGGTGAAATGTACCTTTTCACACTACTTTACACTGACAGTGATTGTATTGTGCTGGAAAATATCCACATCTTTCCCAGAGAAGGTTTTTTTGGTTTAAACCCGCCAAGGCACCAGAAATTTTTCTTTACCTTTACTTTCCTTGAAACAATGGATGTAGGGATCGTAAAGTGGTTATGGATATTTCCCAGAACTACACAATAAGAATAACAAAAACCAACGTATAACGTGCCATTTTCAAATATCATCAAAGTACTTTAAAATTGGGAAATACTGTGCATGCCTTTCACAAGTCTGCATGTTTTATAGAATATTTAGAAATAAAAAAGGGCTACCAGTATATAAAAAATCCTGCATAATTATGAAAACCTAAAATTTTACATAAATGGGGTATAAATAAAAAAATTTTAACTCAACCTTCCGCCACTGAGAAAGGTGCCAAAGTCAAGCCTGCTATTAGACCACTTGACACAGAACAAGCCGACTCAGTCAGGAGAACTGTTAATAATCTTCTCCAAAAGGCACAGCCACCTAAGCCTAACATAAGTAAAGACATGAAACAACCCTCGAAAGCTAAAAGGAGGATAACACTATTATGGTTCCCCCAGCTAACAAGGGTCGTGCCAGGGTAGTTTAAGATACCGGCAACTATTGCCAGAAGATGAAAACTTATCAAGAGCAGTCTATATCTACTTATTAACAAAGAACATACTGACCGTCTGAGGAGAAAATTAACTGAAAACCTCTTAGATCTTAAACCTGTGTATAAAAAGATGAGACCTACACACATACAGCCACCTAGAATATACGGTCTACCTAAGAAACACAAATCGAACGTACTTGTCAGACCTATAGTTTCATATGTTAACACCTTTGCTTATGATTTATCAGCCTATTTAGCTGGCATCTTAGCTCCCTTAACGGGAAGTCTGACTACACGGTTAAGAATTCAGCTCATTTTGTGTCTACTACTAACAAACAAAGAGTAGATGAAAATGAGATCATGGTATCTTTCAATGTAAAATCTTTATTTACGAACGTTCCGATTGAAGGCGCTGATAGAGCTACGTTATGGAAACTAGAGAGTGACCTACGCTTCCCTAATCACACAACTTTAACAGCTGCACAGATTGCTGACCTTCTAAACTTTGTTTTAAGGTCCACATACTTTCAGTATGATGGAGCAATTTATGAACAACAAGATGGTGCTACTATGGGAAGCCCAGTTTCCGCAGTCATAGCTAACCTCTACAAGGAGGACTTTGAAGAACAGGCACTATCATCCGTGCCAACCACACCAAAGATCTGGAAACGTTATGTTAATGACACTTTTACCATCTTAGAATGGAATGATGTCAAAGACTTTCTACAGCACCTCAACACTCAACAACCATCGGTTTTACAATGGAGACTGAGAAAGATTGAGAAGACTTGCTAATGAATTCAATCCCTTTTTTATATCTGTGGGAGATAACGCAGCTTGTGACTCTGCAGAGCTTGCCCAGTTGCCCGGCTTATCAAACCTTCCCATCCCTTTTAACCTCTGTCCATCAGACCTGTGACGAGCTGTTTGAATTTAAAGCAGTAACTTGTGAGGACGTGCAAAAGGTGATTATGGCTATGCCTTCGAATAAAGCCCCAGGATATGACAGAATTCCCTCATTTGGGATCAAGGACTGTTTGCCCCATGTATTACCAACCTTAACCGCCCTAGTAAACCTTTCGTTTGCCAGCTCCGCTTTCCCCAGCACCTGGAAGAAACCAGCGGTGGTACAGCACCTTAAGACTGGAGATCACAAGATTCCTAATAACAACCGTCCCATCTCATTACTTCCCGTACTTTCCAAAGTGACCGAGAAGAGTGCTTTGAATCAATTTAATGGCTTTCTGACTCAACTAGGCAACCTCACCTGCCACCAGAGCAGGAATCGCAAACACCACTACGAAAACCCTGAGTCTGCTTGTTACTGGTCATATTTTTAAAGCAATGGACAAGAAGGAAATAACAGCTATGGTCCTGATCGATCTAAGCAAGGCATTTTATAGCATGTCATAGGACACTCCTGAAGTTGCAAGGGCTGAGTGTGTCAAGTAAAGCGACAAAGTGGTTTGAGAGCTACCTTACCAACCATACGCAGTCAACACGACTATGAACATCTCGCTCTGAGGAGCTAATCGTTACACATGGCGTACCTCAGGGGTCCATTTTAGGGCCGCTCCTGCTCAGTCTTTAGATAAAAGACTTACCCTCTGTTGTCAAATTTTCAAGCGTCAAGTCATATGTTGATGATAAGATGGTTTACCTTTCGTTCTGATCCAAGGACATTGACTCCTGCCTGATTAAAGTCACTGAAGATCTTCGTCTCATCACCGCCTGATGCTGCGCATCAATCCTAGTAAAACCAAACTCAGTTTGTTTGGAATGCGACAGATACTAAGTAAATGTTAGAGTTCCTTTTCTTGACCAAAACCTAGCTCCCATACCTTCAGTCAAAGATCCGGGTATTAATAATAATAGTAATAATAATAATAATAACTTTATTAATCTCCTCAAAAAGGCTTTTCAGCTTAATGTACAATGTCCAATATGTAAAACTTAGTTTTCCAAAAATACCCTTAAAAAATGCTGTTTTATTTTTACTTTAAATCCATCGAAATTAGTGATAAACTGAAACTCGTCTGGGAGACTAATTACAGCTTTTGGCCTCTGAGGGTAAACGCGCACTGACCTGCAGCTGTCCTACAGAGTGGTATATGTAGGTGGTCCCTATTCCTAGTGTTGCAGTTGTGCACTTCNATTCCTAGTGTTGCAGTTGAGCACGTCCGATCTGGTTTTAAACTTTCGTCAAAGATATGGAGGTGCAAGTCCATTTAAGCATTTAAATACCATGGTAGCATCCCTAACCCAGAATTGTTTAATAATTGGCAGCCAATGTAACTGCTAAAGAACAGGTGTAACATGATCAAATTTCCTCGTTCCAGTAACTATCTGGGCTGCAAAATTTTGCACTGTTTGTAATAGCTCGATGTTTTTCTTGGTGGTATTAACCCATACTGATGAACAACACAATAATTTACTGACTATGCGAGAATTAAATTATAGTGATCAACGTACGCCTATCATACTAGCCTCGAACTTTACATTTAATGAACATGTAAGTACATTGACTTCGTCCCTTATCTCTACTCTTTGTCGTATAAGCAAAGTTGGCATCTATTTTCCAAATCCGTACTCCTCACCATTTTTCACTTGCTTGGTTTTTAGTAAGCTGTTTTACTGTTCTACTGTATGGGCTGGCACTTTCATTCATAACATTCATAAACTACAACTTGTACAAAATTTTCCCGACCACGTGTTAACTAATACTAGGAAGTTCGACCATATCTCACCAGTCCTGTGGGAACTGGGTTGGTCCTCTATTAAACATCTCCTGTTAGTACTTGATGTCACACAGTTGTCCAAAATAGTGAATGGACTTGCGCCCTCCTACCTTAATTGCTACATTAGTAAAAGAACAGGAATCCATATATAATACCAGATTCAGGTAAAAACTTGACGTTCCTATGTGCAGGACAGCCACTGCATAATGTTCCGTTCACTACCCATCTATTAACACTTGGAACTCGTTAAAATCAAGCACAAGAAATAGTAAAACGCTCACTAGCTTTAAGCGTGGTGCAAAATTGGAGCTATGTCACACTGAGAACTAGGTGACTGCTTGCAGAAGTAAGACAGTTTTTATGTCATTAGAGTATTTTTAAGTCAATAATAGGTGGATATATATGGTATATATGATATATCATCGTACCTGTTTTTTTTCTATTTCTTATTAATAATTAGATTTGTAAATTAGTCTTTCTTTTCTTCGTTCCTTTGCTAATACTGTACTGTACTGTACAAGACAATTTCCTTTCTTGACACATTGGTCATAAAAGATTCATAAGGACGCCTCACTACAAGTGTTTACAAAAAACCTACTAACACTGATCAGTACCTGTGTTATGAATAAGGTTTGCACTTGAAACCTACAGATCAGTCACTTATCTGCTAGCAGATTGCTGAGGAGGTCGTACTGATTTCCAAAATTATCTGAGGCATCTTGACCAATAAGAACACATAGTGAGTGTTACGTGACTAACGCATGCTAGTTAATGTATGTGGGATCCGCTAATATATTCTCTGTAGATCACGTGGTTCTGTGTACTCATGTAAGATTGATTTTGAGTGATTAAAAGCGTAGAACGAAACATGGTGGCAGTGTGAGCGCACATCAAACCTTAGCACCGTTTGATACTGAGCGCAGTAACGAACCTTAAAACCGCTCAGACAAGGACAGAAGATGACTGATCCAGCACCGTCTTCGAGTGCACAGCAGACACAGCAGATTGTCCCACCATCACCGCCGATGATGCAAGGCATTCAGCTGCCCACAGGACTAAACCTGTCGGCAAAGCACAAGGCAGCAACTTGGAAAGTCTACAAGCAGCAATGGGAGAACTACTCCATTGTAGCACAGCTAGAGAAGCAAACAGAAGAGTACAGAGTGGCACTATTTCTCTACTCGATAGGACCCGACGCGATCAAGATATACAACAGCTTTGATTTAAGCGAAGCAAACCGGAGAAAGCTGTCGGAAATAATCAAAGAATTTGACAAGTATGCGATTGGAGAAACCAACGAAACGTATGAACGGTACGTGTTTAACAGTCGTGATCAGAAAGAAGGTGAATCTATGGATGCATACGTTGGAGAATTGAGAACACTTAGACAATCGTGCAATTTCTGCACATGTTTACATGACACACTTATACGCGACCGAATTGTCCTTCGCATACGTGATGGAGGCACATGCAAGCGCCTATTGCGTCAAGGCAAATTAACGTTGCAAAAGTGCATCGAAATCGCAAGGAGTGATGAAGTCTCGAACACACAGCTAAAGAATATGGACCGGACTACACCAGAAGATGTCAATAAAGTCAACCAAAGATTTCCACCAAAGAAACCAGAGCACAAATATCCGAAGGAAGCAGGCCAAAATAATCCAAACCGGATACCTAATGATGACAAGATGTCTACAAGCGATAAGCCGTGCGATTTCTGTGGGAGAAAACATCGTAGAGGCAGAGCCAATTGCGCCGCTTGGGGCCGTATTTGTGGAGCGTGTGGAAAGAAAAACCATTTAACGTCTCAATGTAAAGCCAAAGAAAAGACACAATGTCGAAGTTGAGGAAGGCGCAACCAGCGAGGAAGAATTCCTCTATTGTGTGACCTCAAAGCCAGAAATGACAGGAACTGTCAACAGCGTTTCGGAATGTGAAATTTACGCACAGATGCTAATTAATGAAAAACCCATTAAGTTCCATATTGATTGCGGCGCAACCGTAAATGTTCTGCCAAGCAAATACGTCAACAAAGAAGATGTCTAGCCGACGAAACGCATTTTGCAGATGTGGAATAAGACTGAACTTAAACCGGAAGGAATCTGTCGCGTGACCATCCGCAATCCTAGAAATCGAAAGAAATACTCAGTTGAGTTCATTGTTGTCAAGGATAATTTGACCACACTACTAGGCGCAACAGTAATACAGCAGATGGGCCTTATTGAAGTGCATGAAGAGAACTTCGAAAAAATTGCCGCAGTGAAAACAGCAAGTACAAAGGCAGAGACAGCCCAAGAAATTATTGAAGAATACAGTGACGTATTTGAAGGTGATCTGGGGACCCTTGAAGGACTACAGCACCTCGACGTTGACCCCCCGTGCCTCCCAACATCGCACCATCGAGAAGAGTGCCATTCGCCATCAAGCCAAAGCTCAAAGTTGAGCTCGATAGACTGACAGACATTGGTGTGTTAATACCTGTCGATGAGCCCACTGACTGGGTGAGCAACCTAGTTGTTGCAACAAAGGAATCCGGGGATCTGAGACTTTGCTTGGACCCTCAACAACTGAATAGAGCACTNTAAACCGGAAGGAATCTGTCGCGTGACCATCCGCAATCCTAGAAATCGAAAGAAATACTCAGTTGAGTTCATTGTTGTCAAGGATAATTTGACCACACTACTAGGCGCAACAGTAATACAGCAGATGGGCCTTATTGAAGTGCATGAAGAGAACTTCGAAAAAATTGCCGCAGTGAAAACAGCAAGTACAAAGGCAGAGACAGCCCAAGAAATTATTGAAGAATACAGTGACGTATTTGAAGGTGATCTGGGGACCCTTGAAGGACTACAGCACCTCGACGTTGACCCCCCGTGCCTCCCAACATCGCACCATCGAGAAGAGTGCCATTCGCCATCAAGCCAAAGCTCAAAGTTGAGCTCGACAGACTGACAGACATTGGTGTGTTAATACCTGTCGATGAGCCCACTGACTGGGTGAGCAACCTAGTTGTTGCAACAAAGGAATCCGGGGATCTGAGACTTTGCTTGGACCCTCAACAACTGAATAGAGCACTAAAGAGGGAGAGATACCCCCTACCTGTGATAGATGATGTACTTCCAAGCCTCGCACAGGCAAAAGTCTTCACCAAAATAGACGCCAGAAATGGCTACTGGCATGTGCAACTGGATGATGAGTTGAGCAAGCTGACAACCTTCGACACACCCTACGGGAGATACCGGTGGAAACGACTTCCATTTGGAGTCAGTGTAGCCAGTGAAATTTTCCAGAAGAGGCTGAACCAGGCACTGGATAGACTTGATGGTCTGCTGACAGTGCACGATGACATGATCATCTATGGAGTAGGAGAAACTGAAGAGGCGACCGCTGATCACAACACAAAGCTACTACAGTTCTTACAGCGGTGCAGAGAGAGAGGAGTGAAGCTCAACAAGAAGAAGCTAAAGCTGCTGCGTAAAGAGATCCCGTACATGGGACACCTGGTCACAGCAAATGGTCTGAAAGGCCGAGGCCGTACGCAAAATGCCCATGATTCTGTGGGTTCGTGAACTATCTTGCAAAATTCCTGCCCCGCCTGGCAGAGGTGTTAGAACCCATACAGCAGTTGACACGTAAGGAAGCACCATGGCAGTGGAAATATGAGCATGATGGAGCATTCGAGAAGGTCAAAGAACTGGTGACACAGGCACCGTTGCTGAAGTATAACAACCCTGAGGAGGAACTCACCGTACAATGTGACGCCAGTGACAAGGGACTTGGGGCCGCCCTTATGCAGAATGGGTAACCCATAGCGTTTGCGAGCCGTGCCTTGACGGAACCAGAAACTCGATATGCACAGATAGAAAAGGAGATGCTAGCAGTAGTGTTTGCGCTTCAGAAATTCGATCAGTACGTCTATGGTCGCCCAGCAACAGTCCAGAGTGACCACAAGCCGCTAGCAGCCATCTCCAATAAACCACTACGAAGCGCACCCAAGAGGCTACAAGGGATGCTGTTGAACGTGCAGAAGTATGACAGGTCCATCGTTTACAAGCCAGGTCCAGAGATGTACCTTGCCGACACCCTCAGTAGGGCATTTCTACCAACCACTGAGAATTCCCAAGGAGAGTTTGAACGTGTGAATGCCGTCCAACTACTGCCGATGGCTGACGAAAGACTTGAGGAGCTGAGGAGCAGCAACCGTGATGATGAGGTCTCGCAGAAGTTGAAGGAAGTAATCCAGAATGGTTGGCCAGAGGAAAAGCAGGAACTACCAGCTGTCTTGGCCCCCTACTTCAGTTTCAGGGATGAAATGAGCGTTTATGACGGTCTTGTTTTCAAAGGAGAGCGACTACTCATCCCGAAGNAAAGACTTGAGGAGCTGAGGAGCAGCAACCGTGATGATGAGGTCTCGCAGAAGTTGAAGGAAGTAATCCAGAATGGTTGGCCAGAGGAAAAGCAGGAACTACCAGCTGTCTTGGCCCCCTACTTCAGTTTCAGGGATGAAATGAGCGTTTATGACGGTCTTGTTTTCAAAGGAGAGCGACTACTCATCCCGAAGAGGATGTGGCCAAAGATAAAAGATCGTCTTCACAGCTCACAAATAGGTGTAAACAGCTGTTTGAGGAGAGCCAGAGAGTGCATGTACTGGCCCGGCATGGCTGCGGAACTGAAGGAGTACATTTCACAATGCAAGACGTGTAGCAAATATGAGGCGAGACAACAGACAGAGTCCTTGATGAGCCATGAAATTGCACAACGCCCATGGGAGAAGATTGGTACAGATTTGTACACCATTGATGGCCAAGACTACCTAATCGTTGTTGACTATTTCTCAAGTTTCTGGGAAATCGACCATCTTCCCAACACAAAAGCGAGCACAGTCATAAAGAAGCTGAAGTGTCACTTTGCGAGACAAGGGATCCCAGACGTCGTAATAAGTGACAATGGTCCACAGTTTGCTTGCGAGAAATTCACCACCTTTGCCAGCGAATGGGGTTTTGAGCACCGACTGGGGAGTCCTGGACATCAGCAGACGAACGGCAACGCAGAAGCAGCTGTTAAAGAGGCGAAACGCCTTCTGCGAAAGGCCAAAGACACCAAAGGAGACCTATACCTTGCAGTCCTAGCACAACGGAACACTCCCACTGAGTCAATGGGAACCAGCCCTGCCCAACGGTTGCTAGGCCGACGTTGTAAGACACAACTCCCAACGACCAAAGAGCTATTTAAGCCGCAGTCTGTACAAACAAAACAGTAAAGAAGAAAACCCAGGCAAGACAAGCGCGGCAAGCCATGTACTACAACAAGGGGGCCTGAGACCTTTCCCCCTTAGAGGATGGAGATGTGGTAAGGATGAGGCCATTTCGACTTGGACAGACGGTGTGGCAAAAGGCAACGGTTACTAAACGACATGATGAATGATCCTATGAAGTCGAGTCTGAGAGTGGAACCTATCCACGGAACAGGGTGGACCTCAGAGAGCAGCCTACCCCACAGAGGTCCCAAGATCTAACTCCTGCCCAAACACCAGCAGTCACCCCAAACAGGGACAAGGAACCGTCCCTAGCTGAGCGTGACAGGCCACCCGAGACACCTGGAGCCAAACAGCAACCCAGTGAACAGCAAACAACACCGGCTACTGAGTCAGAATGTCCCAACTGAACAATCAGAGAACCTGCATATCTTAAGGACTATTTGCGCTAGGGTAAAGGGACTCTGAACTTTTGCTAGAAACCAGACTTGACGAGTGATTGTCACTAGGACATTGATTATCGAACATTGATTCTCTGATTATAAGCATAGTGATCTTGGTTTTAAGTTGTTGTCTTTACCTCAAAGGAAGGGGGATGTAACGTGACTAATGCATGCTAGTTAATGTATGTCGGATCCGCTAATATACTCTCTGTAGATCACGTGGTTCTGTGTACTCGTGTAAGATTGATTTTGAGTGATTAAAAGCGTAGAACGAAACAGTGAGCAACATTTTAAATAAAAATAATTATTATTATGATCACCCTCATCCTGTTCTCATACCAAAACAGTAATATTAGTGACTGTACAGTGTATCCTACATAATTTCATCTGGTTGTACCTATTGAAGAGAGTCTCTTTCTGTTTTTCCTTTTCAGTCACTGAGAAGAAGGCTTTTCTTGTGTACTATTGTCTACCATAGTTCTTGGCAACACCTTGCTTTCTTTGTGGGAAGAATTTACCGCCTCCTCAAAGACAGCATTTGAGAAGCAGATGTGCAGGAGGCTGGTGCCCTCCTCAAGCTGTACTGTGCACAGGCTCCATGGCTTTATGATTCTGATTTTGAGATGTATGTGTTTGCTCTATCTCCTAAGGACTGTTGGGGTAGAAATTTCAGCGGGAACTTTTGCTGTGGGATCTACAGAGCGTGTGTGGGAGACATCGAATTTGGTAACAGAAGAGTATAGATCTTCAAGCGTACAATAATCAATGGAGTGGAGTATCGAAGTTCCTTTTACAAACGCACAACTGCGCCGAACTTCACCGTGGTTTTAAAATTTAAAGACAGAAGAAAGTCTTATTGTGGTTGTGTTTTAAATTAAGTTCCTGAAGTGCCAGGCCAAATGTACAACGTAGCAGCAAGTGTAGCTGCTCATTCCCCTTCTTTTCAAAAGATGAGAAACCATGCCACCCAGCTTCGATCTTACAGGGGAATTTGGGTGATAAACCATATGACAAGTGTTGCACTTGTAAAGGTCATTTCTGTTCTAATTTCGTCCATCAGGATCTCAATGCTGATGTAATTTTGTCACCCACATGGCAAATGACTTTGAAAAGGACTGGAGTCCTTATCGGCTTCTATAATATAATCTGT